GGTAATAACCACTTTCCTTTTGAGTTTCCTCAGCTCCTAATTTTTTTTAGTTTTTTTCTGATCTACTTGAGAGAAGACAGGGAGTGCAGCTGGAGATGGAAGACAAGGAGTTACTCGAAAAATGGGTTTTGCTGGAGAAGAGGCAGCTTACTTAGCTATTTGGTCAGTGAGATTATTTCCCTGGCCTTCAAATGGAGGATTCCTTTGATGTCCTGGGACATGTACAACAGCTATTGCTTTTGGCAATTGTAAATTTTCCAGTATTTGTATTATTAGGTCCCTATGGAGTAAATTTTGACCTTTGCTGTTAATGAGGCCCCATTCAGTCCAAATTTTCCAAAAGTATGAACTACTCCAAAGGCATAGTTGGATTCTGTATAGATTGTTCCTTTTTGATTTACCGAAATTTTAAGACCTGAATTTTTTTTTTTTTTTTTTTTTTTTGAGATGCAATTTCACTGTGTCGCCTAGGCTGGAGTGCAGTGGCACCATCTTGACTCACTGCAAGCTCCTCCTCCCAGGTTCATGCCATTCTCCTGCCTCAGCCCCCGGAGTAGCTGGGACTACAGGTGCCCGCCACGATGCCCGACTAATTTTTTTTTGTATTTTTAGGAGAGATGGGGGTTTCACCATGTTAGCCAGGATGGTCTCGATCTCTTGACTTCGTGATCCACACCCCCTCGGCCTCCCAAAGTGCTGGGATTACAGGTGTGAGCCACCACACCCGGCCTAACGCCTGATTTAATGTGAACAACTCACATGTTTGTGCAGACCAGTCGTTTGGTAATCTTTCAGACTCTGTTTCTGTGAGGGTATCTCCATCTATCATTGAATACTCGTTATGCCTTTTTCCTTTCATTACTTGGGAGGAACGATCTACAAACAGGTGTTTCCCAGTCTGAAAGGGTGTTTCCTTTAGATCAGGTCTAATTTTTGTTTGATAACTAATTAAATCTAAACATCTGTGTTCTGGGCAAAGCTCAGGGTTCTGTGGGTTGAGGTTTCGTGTTAAGAAAGCAGCTGGATTAATTGAGTCATCAGTGGTTAAGCTTAGATCATCTGTTTCTAACAAGGTGGCTTCATACTTAAACATTTTTGAATCATAAGCCACCTTCCCGCCTTCTGATTGGGAATTGTTCTCACCTGGTGAGGAGAACTAATGATAAGTTTCCCTAAAGATTAATTTTCTGCTCTCCTCTCTGAGCAAGGCTGTTGCTGCCACTGATTGGACACACTCGGGCCATCCGTGGGCTACTGGGTCAAGAATTTTTGACAAGAGGCTATGGGTTGCCAATGGCCTCCATGTGTTTGAGTAAGTACCCCTAAGGTTACTTCATTACCTACATTAGCAAAAAGATGAAAGGGCAACTCTAAAGAGGGTAAGGCTAGAACATGGGCTGTCACTAGTAACTCTTTTAATTTTTTTGTCTGCTGTTTTTCTGGTAAAAACCATATAAGGGGGTCCGATTCATCCTGTTGTGTATGTTTTTGTTTTTGTTTTTTTTTTTTTTTTTTGAGACAGAGTCTCGCTCTGTCGCCCAGGCTAGAGTGCAGTGGCCGGATCTCAGCTCACTGCAAGCTCCGCCTCCCAGGTTCACACCATTCTCCTGCCTCAGCCTCCGGAGTAGCTGGGACTACAGGCGCCTGCCACCTCGCCTGACTGGTTTTTTGTATTTTTTAGTAGAGACGGGATTTCACCGTGTTAGCCAGGATGGTCTCGATCTCCTGACCTCGTGATCCGCCCGTCTCGGCCTCCCAAAGTGCTGGAATTACAGGCTTGAGCCACCGCGCCCGGCCGTAAGTTTTTTTATATAAAGGTTTGGTTACTAAAACATGAGTCTATCCATAAGCGACAATACCCTACTAACCCTAAAAACTTTCTAAGTTCCTTCTTTGTCTCAGGCAGAGGTAAGGATATGATGCCTTCAATCCATTCAAATCCAATTCTCCGTTTGCCGTTACTGATTAAGTGCCCTCAATACTTGACTTCAGGTCTACAAACCAAAGTTTGCTTTTTTGACACCTGTAATCCCTCCAGTTGTAAATTATTTTTAAAAACCTATTGAAAATCCTTCTACTTTTTGTCTATCCTCCCCTGAAAGAAGGATATTGTCCATGTATTGGAACAGGCATATATATGGCAGTTTGTAAAACTTTTCCATGATCTGTTGTAGTATCTGACCAAACAAATTTGGAGATTCTGTAAATCCCTGGGGGAAAACTGTCAATCGTACTGTTATTTTCTACTGGAGAGAGGGTCCTCCCATTCAAAGGCAAACAGGTCTTGGCTATCTTCTGCTAGTGGGCAAGCCCAGAAGGCATCCTTTAGATCAATTACCGTGAACCACTCATGGTTGTATGAAATTTTACTAACAATAGTGTAAGGATTAGGAACAACAGGGTGAGTTGTTTGAACTATTTGGTTAACAGCTCCAAGATCTTGCACTAGCAGATGTGATCCATCTGGCTTTTTCACAGGTAGTATGGGAGTGTTGTGAGACATACAGGGTTCAATGGGTCTATCACGGAGAAGGCTTTCCATTAGGGACTTTAAATTGATCTTAGCTTCTAAGGGAATTGGATATTGTTTTCTTTTTACCTCTTCCCCTGGGTTTTTCAATTTAACTTGGTTTGGGGAAATTTGTAATTTTCTTTGGTTTCCTTCCTTTGACCATACATCTGGATGGATGTGTCCCTCATTTAGAGTAGCGAGCAAATTTAAGGAGGGGAGGAGTTTTCCTTGATTAACATAAAGGCCTAGGTTTAATTTTAGCAATAAATCTCTTACTAGTAGGTTTATGACTGCCTCCGGGATTAACAGAAGTTTAATATTTACTGAGCAGTTCTGATATTTAATTTTTGTTTCTTCTAAGACTTTTGCTTTAAACCCCTCTCCTTTTGCTCCCAAAATAAAAAGTTCTTCTTGTGACCAAGTTGCACCAGGGGGAAGATAACAAACTGAGGAAGGAGCAGCTCGTGAGTCAATTGAAAAGGTGATATTCTCAGATTTGGGTTCCACCTCTACATTTATCAGGGCTCTTGGTGGGACTCGAGGTAAAAAGAGTAGAGCCCCTGGCCCCCCATTCTTCCTCAAAGATCATAAGTGGGGTGATTTCCTTTTCTTTTTTCCATTCAGGTCATTCTCTTATAAAATGACCTTCCTTCCCACACTTGAAGCATTTCTTTTGCCCTATTCTTCTTTTTATTCCCTTGTTCCCTGGTTTGATTCCTTTACCTCTGTTATAGGGTCTGGCAGTCGGGTATCTAAAAGATTTACCAGCGACATTTCTTTGAGCTGCCTGTTGGGGAGTTCCCTGCTGTAAGGACAGCAGAATCTTTGCTTTGTGCTT